ACGGTTTTATGTAAATCATATTTGAAGAAAATCTTTTCTGAAAAAATAAGATAGAAAGATATTGTTAAAAAGAATCATATCTTTTAACAAACCGATTTTAAGAAATAAAACATTTTAGAAAATCTTTTCTAAAATCTATCTTTTATATGTTCCTTATTAATTTATTTACCAAGAAAACTTGTCACGCTTCTAATAAATCTCGTGCATTAACCTACTTAACATATTAACAATAATCTAGAAGATAAAAACCTTAACTAAATTGAATTGTTGCGCTGCGCCTTTGTACAGATAAGTTACTTGGGCTCCAAGCTTACTAAGTTCCACCAAAGATCTTAGGCTTGGTGTCTTCAAGTTCCTGTTAGGTAACGTTCCTGTTAAGGAACTCAGTTCTTGTTAGAGAACTTAGTTCTTGTTAGAGAACTTAGTTCTTGTTAGAGAACTCTTCTTCTTTTCTATTTAACTTTTTGTATAAAGATCTCCTTATTATGTCTTCTTAGTTCCAGTTACTTCTTCCATCACCACGATCAACTTCACCTAAAAACTTGAAAACCTTTATTAGATGAGTTTGCTTTAGTTTAAGTTCCTCATCATCAAAACCTTTAAGCTTCAACAATCTAATTAGCAACCACAACCAAAAATTAAAGCCATTTTAAACACCTTGAAAATATTAGTTACAAAAATAAATTAGTAAGGTTACAATACCGTTGTTGGGTCTTGAAAAGTCTGACTTTCCGCGAAATCAAAACCCAACCCCAAGACCCGCTCACAATTAATATAACTAATAAGACTAATTAACAAGAGGAGGAGAAAGACAATATTACACTTGATGCCCGCTTTGCTCACTTTACGAGCTCTTACTTCGAAAGCTTCGAGTCCTGCAAGTGCTTAGACCTTCAAAAGAGTTCCACCCGTAACACAACCCCTCCTGTCTCTACTCGGAGTTTAGCCGAGCTACACAAAAACTAAACTTACTCGAGTTTTTATGAACTTAAAGGTTTTCTCTCTTTTGGGGATGCCTTATTGAGTTTAACTCAAGTGGGCTTCTCAAATCCCAATACTTTGGTATTTATAAAGAATTCCCACCAACATCCCTCTCTCCCATCAATATGAGAGAGTTGGTAAAAATCCTTTTTCCATTTTATTTATAAATCAAAAATCAAAAGAAAAAGCAATGTAATGATTAATCAACAAGTGTCAAGCATGGAGGAAGAGAGTAGGTGAGGACCACAAGGGGGTGGGACCTAAGCCTTGCCCCCCCCCCCCCAAGGATCCCCAAAAACGGCTCACCCTTTCTCTCGGGCCCAGTCAGCTAGCCTTGGGTGCCAAGGTAGCCACTCTAGCGCCTAGCCCTATGGTTGGTCCTACTAGCTAGCAGCACCAAGCCAAGGCCTAGCACGTTGTGCGTGAATGTGAGCTGTTGGCCACAAGGCCTGCCAGCCTTCCCCAGCAAGCCACGCTATGATGCGGGCTGCTAGTTGTTGTGATGTGGGCTGCTAGGTGTTGTTGTGCGGGCACTTGCGCACCATAGCCTCTTGGCCAGTGCACCAGCTCGTACATGCATGCAGCAAGCCATGCACATGATGCGGGCTGCTGGTGCGCTTATGTGAAACTGGTGCTACTATCATTGCTAGCTTGCTAGCATGCTATGCTAGCTGCCATGCCCCTAGCACTCGGTTTGCTCGGGACATTCCAATGCTAGGGGTATTTGGTAATTTGTTGCTTAATTGATTTTTACCGTCTCATCATTTTATTAATTGACTCGACTTGCGACGCTCGATCTCGACGCTCCTAGCTCGATGTCCGACGTCTATGTTCATAATACTCGAGCCGCTCATTAATTCCTTTCAAATTAATTTGTTGTGAAGGATCGTTAATTTGCTTGGCTGTGACCCGAAGGGTTCAGTCAAGATTAAACTGTAATATTAATTATACATTAATATTACTGATCGAAAGCAGCCTCCAACTAGGCATTCCGATCACTTGACCTCACTGAATAATTAGCTTTCCGATCACTTGACCTCACTGAATAATTAGCTTTCTAATAATTATGAACCCTCTGTCGGAATAATACACTTATTCGAAGGACATCATTCTTATCAAAAACCATCTTTCCCTCCCGAGAATTCAAACGGTTACTTTTCAAAAAGTTTAAAAACCAATTTCATCATTTTAGACAGAAAAGGAGACGAACGCTTTAAAGGCACGTTAAAAATGACGGCCAAGTCAGCGGAATTAGAACACCATCCAGGAGTTCCGAGTGATAGGTGTCTTACCCCAATTAAATTTGGCATAATCTGTCCGCCTAATCTCAAGACTTAAGAGTCCTCTAACGAAATGAAGGCAGACCAAACAAGGCGTCCAGCCCAAGGGAAGAATCCTCTGCAAGACGAACAGTATCGTCTGAATACTTAACCGAATGCTTAAACTCCTATGTGCACTCGGACGTATCTATACGAGTGGAATATTAGAGGAGGCGGCCTGTAGAGTACGAGCGACCCACTCTAAGGGTAAATGTTTAGGATAAAAATTACCCTAATACGTGGAGCAATCCAATAGTGACACGTGGACCGATAAAGGGCGACACGTGTCCCTATAGGAAGATGACACGTGTATAATCCCTACAAAGTGCACCTGAAAAAAGAGTGAAAAGGGCCTCCTTACATCCAAAGGCCCAAATCCAGAGAAAACCCCAAAACGGCGCCTCTATCAGAACACGTGTCAACACTTGATTGCGCCGCCAATCAAATCACGTAATTCTAGGGCAACAGCCCTAAACGACACATTCCCCACCCCTATAAATACTCCAATCATTTATGATGGGACGGGTAAATGGTGAGATAACATTGAAATACAACATTAAAAAGCTCCAACTTCTCTCTACTTTTTCTCTCTATCCTTTTCGTTTTCCGATTACTAACTTAACCGTCGGAGGCGGATATTGCGATTACGGAATATTCGTTATTTTCAGGTGTCCAAACCGTCTATCCATAGAGCGCGACTAGTGTCACAGAGGAAATCACAAAAATACCCGAAAACAATAGTACTTACTAATTTAAAGATATTATCATGCAAGTAATAACTAACTCAATTCATCTTTCACCATGATAAATTACCCAAAAAAAAGAAAAGACTCAATAAAGTAAATTACTAGACTATACTCGTGCCAACGCACGGGGTTGCTAATAAATTTTATTACATTTTTCTTAATGGAAAACAAAATGAAAGTCAAAGGTTACTTTACGACCAATGGTACGTAGTCTCTTACAACATTTACCCTTTTATAAGGTAGTTTCTTAAAACACTTTTTTGATTAGGTAGTTTTTCGCAAAAAAAAAATAAAAAAAAAAGTTTTATAAGGTAGTTTTTCACCAAATGTCCTTATTTTTACTATTAGCCGTCAAATAGCTATTAAGACTTTGTCAAAACTGTCAAATGGCCATTTCAACCAAAAGTTTCAGCTAATATTTAAGGCCCAAAAATATGTTTTATACTCTTACATGAGAGCTTTTCTGGCTTGAAATATGGATGTAGCATGAGCCCTCCGCATACCCTGTACAAAACATTCCCACTTAAAAGTGGAGGGTTGGATGAGATTCGAATCCATGAGGTCGTGACTTTTGTGTCACGGTAGCTTTAATACCATGTTAAGGGGATCGTTTCAACCAAAAGCTTAAGTTAGTGGTTGAGGCCCAGAAATATGTTTTATACTCTCTATCGGTGATATCATGTAAAAATATGTTCCTTTATTCCTAACCTTTTGATTAAGGCCCAAAAATATGTTTTATACTCAATATCAAAAACATTCTAAATTATCAGTTTCATATATTGAATACACTCATCATGTGTAGGCTACATTCTTTCATTTTGCAAGATAAATACCGATCATAAATCAAATTAAATTATTGCTAACTTTAATTATTTAATCACGAGCAAGTATTTGTCTTTTGATGTTTGAACACTAATTTAATTGGTAATGAAGTACCTAACTGAAAATTTGGGTGGTCCCATCAAAGAAAACTACAAATTTAACAAATATGGAGCATCTGTATCTATAACCAAATTAATTTTTTTTTTTTTTTTTTGTACCTTTTCTAATTTAAATAATTGAAATCATATGTTGCTTACTTGCGTACCATAACATTTGTATTCATTTCAACTAATTCTTATTAATTCAAAAGGATGATTTTTTTTTTTTAATTTATTTTTTATTTTTTTTTTTTTCATATAAATATCATTGAGTCATGATTTTAAGTCATTTTCAGTTGTGGTAATGACAATTTTGAGCAGACATTTTCTTGCACCGCCACTTCATCCCTCACACTTACCTCATTCTTATCACTATTTCAAGTGTAACACACTTTCATTCTACTAACTTATGCACCGTAAGAATCTGTGCTTTATCGACTGTAATTTAACGACATTATAAGACCAATCTACGTAACTTATTTTATCCGTAAGTTAAAGTAACATAATATTTCGAAATATATTACTCAGTATATGTTTACGCCTTACAGGTTTAATTTACATTTTTATTTTTATTAATACGGTAATTAATTTTTGGAGAAATGGAGTATACGATGACATAAAATAGAGGCACAATTAAAAGATAGTGCTTCTTCATGCAGTTATAGGTGCAGAATTTGTGAGCTGATACATGCATTCTAACTTAGAATGATCCAACATTATTAGTAAATAATTACACATTTTCATCCAAATAATATGATCTTTTAATTTCAAAATGTATACAAAGTCTTGAAAATATATAAACATCTATAGATCAAATTGGATAAGAAATGGAATAAAAAAAAATTATATAAGGCCCTACAATAAGCTAGCCATGTCCAAAATAATGATCTCTAATTGTGATCATGTATAATAATTTTTAACAAAGAATTGAAATCTAAATTAATACATATCATCCTTTGATGATGATTATAATCCATTCTGAATAAATTAAAATATTTTTTGAAAAAATATCAACATTTAAAATAATGCTGACTTGTTTTTTGTGCACTTATAAGAATTTCTATTAGACAAATAATTACCATTAATAAGAAATTGAATTAAATTGTTTTTTTTTTTAAATAATGAACCAAACCTTCACATCAGTAGTGGCAATCCACTAAAGCAGGCGAAGAGAAAACAAGCTGCTGCTGCTGCTGCTGTTTCTGTTGTTGTTGTGGTGGTGGTGGTGGTGGCGAAGGTAGCTGTGATTGCTCATCATTAGGGAGATGTTTCGACTCGAAAACAAACTTTGATTCCCTTTGATGATCACCTGCATTATCCTCTGCTGGTGCAGGAAGGTTAAGATCCAAGTCAAGTGACAAAAGACTTGTACTGGTATTTCTGACAGGTGGTATCTTCATCGCTGTAGTAATCATCATTTCCTCTGACATTTCAGTGGCAGCAGCAGCAGGCGCCTGCTCGACGGATAAAGGTACTGCTCGTATAACTGGAGCAGCTGCAGCTCCCACAGCTGCAGACATGGGGCCTCGATGACGCCTCATGTGACCACCTAAGGCCTGTCCTGATGAAAACTCTGCCCCACAAATCGAACACTCGTGTACTCTGCCCTTGTTGTTGCTGTGATTGCTGGTTATGCCGTTGTTGTACAATGCTCGATTTGTCAGTTGAAGTGACAGCGAGGTGGAAGAAGTCACATTGTTATTGTTGTTATGTCTCGCGGCTTTAAATGGTGGTTCTTCATCATCTGACGAAAGCAGCAGATTGCTGTTATTGTTCCTGTTATTATTGTTAGTTGAAGTTATGACACTGGAAAAAATATTATTCGCTCTGCTTTTGTTGCTGTAATCTTCGTCTTTGTTCTTAGGCTTCTTATGGCTAGCACGGTGACCTCCAAGTGCTTGAAACGACGAAAACGTTTTCGCACACGTTTTGCACTCGTATACATAATAACCAGACTTCCCTGTTGTAGAAGGAGTCTCCATGAACTTCCGGCTAACAAATTTACTACTCCCACTGGCAGAACCAATGTTGTGATTATTGTTCGTTCTATACATTGGATGATCATCTACCAAAGAAAGTAGTGGCGGATGTTGTGGTGTAAGGTCACGAGAGTGGCCTTGCGCCAACAGGATAAGACAATTCGCCATGTCTTCCTCTTCCTCTGTAGTACTGGCTGCGGTTCCATTTCCACCCCCGTTAAAGTAGATATCATCGTCGTCTGAGGCGATGGTGGTGGTAGTGCCTGTTGTCATCTCCTCAGCGACGTTGTTGTTGCTACAAATATCGCTCCCTTCGTCGCTTTTATACGAAGTGTTTGTTGTGGTGGTGATCATGCGGAAAGGAATGGGAGATTGTGGCCTTTGCCTTTTAGTCCTCTTCCCTTTCACAATCGATTGCCCCGTCCCTACGTTGTTGTTGTTGTTATTATTATTGTTATTGTTGTTGTTGTTGATTACTTCGTCCTGGCCATCCATATCTTGTATGTTGTTGGTGTCGGACCAATCGACGACACCACCTTCACCCAAACTACCACCGTACGTACCACCACTTAAGGTAGCATATAAAGGGAGAATTAATTAATTAATGAGAGTTAAGTATAAAAATGAAAAATTAAATAAAATGATGAAGAATAAAATGGGAAAAAAAGAGAGATATATCTAGTGAGAGAGGGTGGGAGAGATTGTTGGAGGATATAACAAAGTGATAGATTGATGGTGGTGGAGAAAGGAGTGGAGAAGGTGTGATTTATATATAGATAATTAAATGAGAATTTTTTGGAAAATATGAGAGGAGGAGGAGTGGGCTAAGGAGTCAAATTAGACACCTTATTTGGTAGCTAAGAGACAGTAAAAAAATAGCAATTTTTTTTTTTTAATTATTTTTTTATAAAAAAAGAAAAAGCAAAGAAAAAATAAAGAAAGAATGTGAATTAGTCCGCAAATTTATGAAAGTGGATTTGTTTCATGTTTTTAGCAAAAATTTAGAGGCTAAGTAAGAAGCGAATTAAGTAATAGAGCAAAAATAAAGAGAGGTTAAGAACGAATTAATAAATTAAACTAAAAAGAACAAGATATTATGTGAGAATAAGCATAATTAAGACATAATTAGGTACGGTTTTGATTAGTGGAGGAGAGATATGAGTGCAACAAACACCCCCATTACTTCTCCTTGATGTTTTTTTTTTCTTCTTTGTTGTTATTGGATTAATGTTTGCTACAAATGATTGGAGTGCAAGCCTGGAACCCACGGAATCTGCGGTGCCCCACTGGCCTTTTTCCTCTACTATTCTTTCTGTTTTCCTTTTTGAGCAGATTTTGTTACCTATGTTGTACACATACTTGTGTAAGAATGTTGGATGACACACTATTTATCTTTCTAGTTAGCGTGTCAAAAATGACTCATTAGTTAAATGGTTTAATATAATTTTGATTTAGAGTAAAGTTTTACCATTTAAAATTCAGTTTAATCATAACATGAGAAACACGTAAACTAACAGATTAAAGATATTAATTGCGGAGAACTGTTCAGGCCAGCTGGTGTACAGAAAGAAGTGTGTTACGAGTAGAAAATAAATCAAAATCAACATAAAAATGAGAGGAGACAATTGGGGAAAAAGTGGAGGAATTTATGAAGTTCTATCCATATCATGCAAAATTGTCACTTCTCTTCCCTTTTTACTTGGCTTCATGTCTTCGGTTTCCTTACTCAAGAAAGTTTTTTTTTTCAGATCTTTGCCTTATGTATCATGATTTTAGTTAAATGCACCATGTGTCAAAAATATGCTTAAGTATTAAGCCTGACCGAACACGCTACAGGACAACTTTGTACTTCTTAAACCGCTTTGTCTTGATTCAATAAGTTGTATGAGACACCCCTAGAAAAACACGATGCATGTTCACAATTAATCTGTTTTATTTTTGTGTTACTAATGTTATCTAATCCATCATTTAAAATGGCATAATGGATGTTCGAAAAAAAAACATTCATATCAACTAGAAATTGTAATATATACCCGGGTGCACGGTGCACCCAAGGTGTGCACAATATGATGCATCCAAATTAAATAACCTTAGGTGCACCATGTACCCGGATGAATATAACAAATAATATTACAAAAAAGAGTCTTGGGACCTCAAACTATACATGCATTCACTAAACAATATACCCCTAAGGTGTTCGCTTTTCCAAGCTGTGCCCCTCCGTTTGAAAAGTTCCACGAAGTAACCTCAAGGTCCCACAAGTGATTACGTTGTAACACTACTTTCATCCCTCCGTTACAACTTTTCGTTAGTTTAATTTTTCCATTGATGTACGTTGGATGGGTTAAGTTTGAAGGAAAATTTCCCTCCGGCCACAAGCACAGTATTCCACCCTCCTCCTTAAATAACCCTTCTTCTTCTTTTCTGTTTTCGAATTTCTTCAGCTATGGTTCGATTTTTTTTCGAATTTCTCCACCTAGCAGTTTTTCTAACGCATGCACCATGTCAAGTTCTCGATCTTCTTTTCAATCCAAATCGAGTTGTGCGCTTCAATTTTCGCCTCCACGTTGTTGTTGCAATTCTCCTAAATTAGCAAAGATCAAGATATCAACAACCAATCGCAACCCAGGGAAAGCTTTCTTTAAGTCCAATGATTGGTTTCTTCAAATGGTTGGATGAAGGTGATATTCAAGGGTTGGGAAGTATGTAGACCGGTGATGCTGCACATGTTGTTGACAAATTAGTTGATTTGATTAGTTACTTTAAGGATGTAGTTAAAATAGGGGTTTTATGTATATCATGTTGTTGGTGATTATCTTGATTAAAGTTGGGTAAATTGATAGGATTGGTGTAGTAGAAAAACAAATTTAGCTTTATCATGTAACAACATTTGATCCTGTATGAAGTTTATTGTTATTGTCTAAGAAATATTTGGGCTTGATTCTCAAATAATGCTCATCATTCATATTATACGATCCAATTAAGATAAGAAAATTGAAGGAGAACTATTTCATAGCATAAGATAATATCAGTTTCATCACCATTTGTTACACCCAAAAAATTATCACTCGAACATAATTACATAATAATTAATTCCAAAAAATTAACCCCTTCCTAATTAATTAAATGTTAATTAACTCAAAATGTAAACTCCATCACAGTAGAATTTGTTAAACACAAAAAAATTCCAATTTAATTTTATGCAAAAGACCATAAGATTTTTGATAAAATCAGAGCATGGGCAGCCTCTTCAATATTTTCCTTATTTTTATTGGGCTGATGTAGCCTTCCTCATTGTTTGTTGCTGTTGTAGTGTTTGGTTCAGGTTGACTGAAAGCTTCTGCAAGGAATGTTGCTTTTCTGCTTTCGGTTCTTGAATTGGTAGTTGAATGCACAGGTTGGCTTGAGTAGGCTCTGGGAACATGTTGTAGGGAAAATGCTTTACTGACCATCATTTCATCAATTAGGTTCCCATTATCTTCATGTTGTAAGTTGTGTTGCCTTAAGCTCTTTCTTGCCTTGGTTGCTTATTTGGTCTTGAACAAACCTGATTTCTCTTGCATATTCTTCTTAGTAGGTCCACCTTTGCAAGTCAAGGTGCTATGTCCAAACTACCTACAGTTCCCACATTGGACAATTGAGCTCCTCTCTCATTCTGTTCCTAGAAGGTATGTCTACAATTCTTTTCATAGGTAGGGGAGATCAATTTAGGAATATCTAGGTCAGGCCAATGTTGTGGATCGGGTATGGGCAAGATATTGCCTTTGTAATCTGCCTTGTACCTAGAAACAGAGTACCATTCACTAACAAAATCCAAAGGGTCTTTCCCAGCATGAAGTATAGCTCTTACTCCATGCCTGCATGGAATTCCACAAATTTGCCACCTACCACAAACACAACTCTTATTGTTTAGAGAAACAGGTAGCATGCTTCTCCCATATGATATCCCATAGTCTCTCCTCCTTGATGGATATGCATGACAAAGTCTTGACTCTCTTCTTAGAACTCTAACTCTGATCTTTCCCTAATGTTTGGACACACTTCCTCATCTTTCCATTGCTCTGACAGTTGATGTCTTGTGGCATGTCTGACCATAGCAATTCTTCTAACACCTGCACATACATAGAAACACTACTTGAACATGACAAATTGTAAACCACAATGCATTAAGTTAAAGTAAGTGGTATTTTTGTACCTTCTAGTAAAGTTAAAATAGGGTATGTACATGAACATAATAGCTTGAAATTGTAGGCCAGTAGACTACCAAGCCATAATTTGAATCAAGCTTACACAATAATTCCATCTCCAAATAATTCATTAAGGTTATATTTAATTTATACATTGTTAAATTGTTAATTAAAAGTAAGAAATTATTCAAGAAATTTCAAATAACATTATATTTTGGGATGAATTTACATACTTGTACATAGTATTACTTTTATTTCTACAAAACAATTTATGTGATACGAGAAAAAAAAAATATTGGAAGAAGGGATACATTTTCAGATACCCAATAATTTTTTTATAGGGCTTGAGTCACCCACCTTGTTGGGCCACATGTACACTCCATTTCACATTTGTATGATTTTGTCTGATTTAGGCTTAGCCCACACAAATTTGATTTTGGACACCTTCGTAAAGAGCCTCATATTAATTGAAGTGTGTTTTTACTTGAAACAAAATCTTCTCTTTCTTATTCTTTTCATATGTGACTTGGGACTGCATACCTTAACAATATTTTGAAGGATGTATTTCTTCGTCGTGTGCAATTACTAGATGTATAATTAAATCAAATTATGGAGATAATTAAGTTTGTACATTTGGGTCGTCATTATATCATAGCTAGAGGTATTAACGATCTTTGGGTTAGTAAAATAGGCCAAAGCCCAATTGGAAGAATCCTATAAGGTCAGACAAAGAGCCTAGATTTAGCACGAGATGACGAGGCCCAAGATGGGCCTCATCACCTAGTATGGCCGGCCATATGGAGGAATAAGGAGGGTTTTGGGCCTCGTGACTTAGTCTAATTATAATGTGATTATATAGACTAAGTGCCTAGGGTTTTCATGTATTGCAATTCAGTGATCATTTGATTAAACCCTAATTAGCAAACACGAGCCCAACCCCTCTCAAACTCCCTCTCTCTCACGGCTCTCTCCTCCTTCCTCGGCGCCAGTGTGGTGGTTCGTGGTGGTCTATTCAGTCCATTAAAGGTGGTGATCGTTGTTTTCCTCTTTCATTCGACCAATCTAGTATTGGTGATTGGCTCGTTCAAAGCTCGTGGACTAAGTAGAGGAGCAACGCTTAGGGTTGTATTCTTTCCCTGATTTGCCAGTCAATTTGCTTCGTGTAATTCACGCTTCAAAGGTAAGATTATGTGTCTTATGTGTTATGCATACGATGCATATGAACTTGGGATTAGGTGCTTTATGAATATGATTCATGTTTTTGCTTTATCTTACCTATAAACTCCTACAAATTTACCTTCCAAGTTTGTATGTAGTTGGGAATCCATTTAGAACACTTTGAGGGTCTGGATCCGGGCAAAAAAAAATCGTGATATTTGAGATCCAAGCTAGATTATTCTTCGATCTCCGCGATCCCTTACCTTAAAATATAATAATAGCATTATCCAACTTACTTAACTCACTATAGCTAGTTACCACACCACCACTCTCCCCTCCCCCGACCCTAAGACCAGAGTGATCCGCTATACACCAACATCCGACCACCACTGTTGCAGTACTAAGGACTACATGCTATAGCTAGTGAGAGCATCAACACTTATTGGTATAATTTTATACCACGGTGTAAGTATTCATCCAAAATATGATAATTTTTACTACAATGGTGGTGTAAAAGTATACCATGGAATGGTATATACCATCCCATGGTGAACATTTGCTTTGGTCCCTGTGTAACATAAACCAACCAGGTCACGCCATGTGGCCTGGTTATCATGCATCTTTTATATTTTTTTTCAATTGCAGTTTAAGAAAAAATTATAAAGTAAATAATTATGAAAAAATTACCATTGTTCATAATTTTTCAAGACCTACACATAGACACCCATATTGATATGGTTTTATATATTTTTTTCAAATTCTTTTTTACTACCTAAACTAGTGTTTAAGCCCGGGCGATGCCCCGGGTCGATACGTTAAATATTAATGTATTATAGTTTTTGTGTATTATATTTTATGTCGTAGATGTATTTTACTTTTTATATATTTTATGTCCATAATAATGTAAAAACCTTTTATTTTAGATTTAATCTAAGAAAAAAAATAAGTCATGTAAAATTACAAATAGAAACACTCTCGTGGTCTACATTAACTATATTTAAGAAAAATAAATTAACTATATTATCAGATAGCAAAGTAG